AACAAAGATGAAGAACATATGAAGAACGCTGGCAGGAATTGAATATGTCTAGTTTAATGAAAAGAAGGACTAGGGGTGACATGACAGCAGTCTTCCAATATCTAAGGGGCTGCCCCAGAGAAGAGGGAGTCAAGCTATTCTCCAAAACACCTGAAGGTAGGACAAGAAGCAATGGGTAGAAAGGAGAGAAGCAACTTAGAACTAAGAAGAAATTTCCTGACAGTGAGAACAATTAATCAGTGGAACGGCTTAATTTCAGAAGTTGTGGGTGCTCCAACACGGTAGGTTTTAAAGAAGAAGTTAGACAATCATTTGCCTGACATGATATAGAGTCTCCTGCCTTAGCAGAGGGTTGGACTAGAAGACCTCCTTGGTTCCTTTTAACTCTGTTATTCTGTTATTCTTCTGTCAAAATTAAGCGAGTGTTTTCACGCCACCTTTGGATCAAAAGATGTAGATTTTACTACCTTTAAAGTGTTGCATTCTCAATGGAAAGTGATAATTTATTTAAAACAAATAAATGCCAATATTTTTTTTTAATCAGATTTAACCACCCGCCCCCGCCCCGGACAACAGCTAAATTCACCACCTGAGGCATTCAGGAAGGGAAAATATTTGATGCAAATCATAGATTAAAAAAAAGAATGGATTTTGTGTACAGGTGTACAAAAATAATTTTCCTGGCTCCAGTTAAGAGGGAAGAATGATGCATCAGGGGATGCTTAATTGATTTAGAAAGATCAGGTGAGGTGATTTCCAAATTTCCAACGTTTTGTGGGGTCCTTGGTGTTCTCTGAGCTTGGTTGTTTTCTTACAGATGGCTCATTACAAAACTTCCAAAGCACACCACCAAAGCATACTGATGATGTTACCTAGTTGGGTAATGAAATCTCTGTAAGAAAACCACCAAGTTCAGAGGACTTCACACTTCAACCCTGAGCTATAAATACTCTCTTCTATTGGCAAATGACTTTTACTAGACTAGGTTACCTCAGAAAAGTAGGTAACATGGAGCCTTAATGATACAATACTATTAAAACTCTTACAATACGAGACAACACAGTATCAACAGTAGAGACCTTCAAGTTTCTAGGTTCTATAATATCTCAAGACTTAAAATGGACACCTAACATCAAAAAAGTCATCAAAAAAGCACAAGAAAAATGTTCTTTCTATGCCAATTCAGAAAGCTCAGACTGCCCAAGGAGTAGTTGCTGATACAATTCTGCAGAGAAATTATTGAGTCTGTCATCTCCACCTCTATAACTGTCTGGTTTGGCTCTGCAATCACACAGGACAGACACAGACTTCAGAGGATAATTAGAACTGCAGAAAAAAACAATTGCTACCAACCTAACACCTTCCATTGAGGACCTGTATTCTGCACGAGTCAAAAAGAGGGCTGTGAAAATACTGACAGACCCCTCACATTCCAGACATAAACAGTTTCAACTCCTTCCCTCAAGATGATGCCGTAGAGCACTGCACACCAGAACAACTAGACACAAGGACCATTTTTCCTCCCCTGCCATCACTCTGCTAAACAAATAATCCCCTCAACACTTAGTAAGGCTGTATTACTATTCTTCTTCTCATCTTTCCGATTACCTATCTCCTTGCCTTCTTATGACTGTAATTTTGTTGCTTGTATCTTTACAATTTATATTGTTTTATTTAGTTTCCTAGTATGATTTATGTTGATATTATTTAGTATCCTATGACTATCTAGTGTTGTAACTTATGATTTATGATGGATGTATTTTTATGATGACTGTGATCATGATTTATCACTTATAGCTTTTAGGTACGCTGGGAGCTTATGCACTCAAGACAAATTCCTTGCATGTCTAATCACACAGCCAATAAACAATTCTCTTCTCTTCTCTTCTCTTCTCTTCTCTTCTCTTCTCTTCTCTTCTCTTCTCTTCTCTTCTC